AGGGAAGGACTAAGGGCAAGGTCCTGAGTTCAAGTCCCAGTACCCCCAAAATAAGTAAATAAAAATAAAAATAAAAATAAATAAAGAGAAAGGAAAGGTTATTGTGTTCTAAAGTGAGGAAAAAAGCAAAGTGAAAAATGCTAACCAAGTAACTCAAGTCCCATGGGGATGAAGAATAAGTTAGCATGCTAGATAGTTGTGTTTTTTCCCCAAGAGTTTTAGAGACATTTTTAAAATGCAGGACCTTGGATTAGGTGAAGTATGTTGAAGATCAAGACAATGTAGATTACAAATACTCAGGGTCTGCTTCTGGTGAGAGTTCTCATTAACCAGAAATCAGTTAATATGGGACCTGCTATATGTCAGTTCTCCAAATAGATTAGTTAGATCCAAAGGAAACAGGAAGTCAGGCACTGGTGGCTCGTGCCTGTAATCCTAGCTACTTAGGAGTCTAAGATCAGGAGGATCGTGGCTTGAGGCCAGCCAGAGCAAATAGTTCATGAAACCCCATCTCCAAAATAACCAGAGCAAAATGGACTGAAGGAGTGGCTCAAGTGGTAAAACGCCTGCTCTGTAAGTATGAAAGTGTGAAGCTCTGAGTTCATACCCCAGTCCCACCTAAAAAGAAAAAAAAAAAGAGAGTGTGAGAACAGGAAAGTACTATGTGTTATTATCATGGCGGACATTATTTGCTGGATAATCAAACATTCATTCCCAGTTTCTTTCTTCCTGTCTGACTCCTCTATAGAGCATAAAAAAAGTTTCCCTGGTGGCACTGGGGTTTGAACTCAGGGCTTCACGCTTGCTAGGCAGGTGCTCTATCACCTGAGTCACTCCACCAGCTCTCCAGCTCTTTTTGATCAAAGGAAAAGGTTCAGCTTTCAGTGTTAACCCCCTTCATCTCATCTTGTTTTGGACTTTTAGTTTTCTGGTGGAAGAGGGATTTGAACTCAGGACCTTGTGGTTGCTAGGCAGACACTACCACTTGAGCCAAGTTCCCATCCTTTTAACTTTTTTGGTGGTATTGGGGTTTGTTTGAACTCAGGGCTTCATGCTTACAAGGCAGGTGCTCTACCAGGTAAGCCACTCCACTAGCTTTTGGTTTTTGAGACAGACTCTTGCTGTGTAGCCCAGGCTGGTCTCAAACTCTTGATCCTTCTGCCTCAGCCTCCCAAATGCTGGGATTACAGCCGTATGTTACCATGCCCAGTTTCTTCACCTCGTTGTGAATGAAGATATGATAACTGGAGCAGAAGCTGCCAACTTGTGTCAGGGAGGCAAAGCCAAGTGAATTACAGAGAAGACTACCCTGATATCGTTGAGCCATAAACGGCATCCAGAATTCTGTGGAGGTGGAAAACCAAGCCTTCTTTAAGCCACTGTAAATTCCCCTACCTGATACTTGCATGGAAATGCATTTTGAAATGACACAACTTTTTGAAATGATACAACTACTGATAAGTGACAGTCCTTTCTGTTCAGATAATATAAGGTTTTCTCTGATTGATATTTTGTGGCAATTCTAAAGTGGTGAGATTCTACCCATAGTTTGGTGGGCCTGTGGCTCTGACTCCTGGTGACTGGATGAAGTCGTAAGACACAGGTGACTTTACCACACCATCTGTACAATGAATAAAAATAATGTTGCCATGTCTTGTATTAGTCCTTTGTGTTTCAAAAGCTCTTAGACAAGAATAACAAGAGACTATTGAATTGATCGCAGTTTTAAAGCACAAATTATAGAAACTGTGACCACTTGATGCAGAAAAAGCCTTTTTTTTTGGAGAGGTCCTCATGCTTTCGAGCAGGCACTCTACCACTTGAGCCACTTCACCCACCCTTTTAATTTTTTTTTGTATGGGGGTTAATTTTGCTTGGGCTGACCTCAAACTGCAATCCTCCTGATCTCTGCCTCCTGAGTAGCTATGATTGCAGGTGTGAGCCACTGGCGCCTGGCTAAGGTAAGAAATATTTCAATGCAATTTTTTTTCCCTGTACTTACTAGGGATTGAAGCCAGTACATACTAGGCAAGAGCTACCTCCTCAGCCCTTTTTAAGTTTATTTTGAGACAGGGTCTCATTAAATTACTCAGGCTGGCTTGAACTCATGACCTTTTCTCAGCCTCCCTAATGCTGAGATTACAAGCATGTACTAACACACCTCACCTCAAAGCAATTATATGTACGTCTGTTCATTTGTCTGTCTATGTATATGTATATATATATTGTGGTACTGGGGCTTGAACTCAGGACCCCCACATGCTCTACCACTGGAGCCGCACTCCCAAGCCTTATTTACTTTCTTTTTTAAATAGGGTCCCACATTTATGCCTAGGCAGGCCTGGATGACTATCCTCCTAGTTACATGTCCCTCACAGCTGGGATGAAGGCATGTGCAACCACACCCAGCTTTTATTGACTGAGGTGGGGGCCTTGTGAACTTCTTGCTTTGCTGACCTCAAACTTCAATCCTCCTGATCACCACCTCCTAAGTGCTAGGATTATAGGTGTCAGTCACTGTACCTGGCTAAGAAATTTTCAGGTTTTTTTTTTTGGTTCTGGGGTTTGAACTCAGGGCCTACACCTAGAGCCACTCCTCCAGCCCTTTTCTTGTGATGGGTTTATTCAAGATAGGGTCTTGTGAACTATTTGCTTCAAACCACAATCCTCCTGATCGCTGCCTCCTGAGTAGCTAGGATTACAGGTGTGAGCTGCTGGTGCCTGGTGGAATTTTCAGTTTTGATAGTGAGATGTGGATAAACAGGGAAGAGGTTCAGGTGCTTGGGTAAGAATGACAGAGAGGAGCCCAGTGTTGGTGGCTTATTGTAATCCTAGATACTCAGGAGGATCATGGTTCGAGACCAGCCTAGGTAAACATTTCAAGAGACCCTATCTCAAAAATACCCAACACAAAACAAGGCTGGTGGAGTGGCTCAAATGGGAGAACACCTGTCTAGCAAGTGTGAAACCCTGAGTTCAAACCCCAGTACTGTCAAAAAAAAAATGACATAGGGACACTGTAATTATTGGTCTTGGTAAATGGCATCCTTTGGGTCCATCCTGGGTGAACAGTATTTTAAGGAGAATGTCATTGTTTGTTAGAGCTGGGGTAGAGATAAATTGATGTAGGAGAATTCAGAACATAGACTGGAATTCTTCTCAAACTGGGAAGGCTCAAGGAGATAAGGTCTGAACTAGGTTTATTTATTTATTTTACATATTTCTTGGCAGTACTGGGGTCCCTGTGCTTGCAGGTAATTTACCCTTGAGCCACACTCCCAGCCCATGAGCTGGGTTTTAGAGGAAAGAAAGGGGGAAGGAGAAGAGCACTGGATTGGCAGACAGGAAATGGAGTTCCCTGCTTGGTTACCAGCCTTACTCCCTGTGAGAATCCAAGCACCTCAGGTAGCTTTTTGGAGTGTTCGGTTATCTGTAAGATTTTGCTATGAGACTTGCCAAAGAGCTGTGATTTTCAATTGAGATTAAAGTAGGGAAAGCTGTTTGTAAACTGTAAAGTGCTGTGTAAACACTTTGGACTGTTATTAAGTGGCCGAGCATGGATAAGGTTTTCACAGAAGGCTTTAGCCAGACAGATGGGCCTCTGGGCAAAGAGAATAAATGCTGGAGTGATTTCCTATCAGTCTAGACAAAAGGAAATTGGGCCTTGAAGATGACCCTAGTCAAGGGAGGCCTTTTTCAGTCCATGCAGGAAGCAAAGCCTGAGACTTCACACTTAGAAAACCAAGTGCTATGGTCACAACAGTATAGGGGAGAACACTGCTTTGGAATACCTGTCACAAAAAGAGAACAACAAAAAAACACAAAGAAAAAAAAAATACAATACCTATCACAAAATGCACCGTGAATGTATGTGGAGGTTCTTCTGGCTTTTCTATATGGCCATGTCACACTCATGTTTGCTTCTAGGTGCCCAAAACTTTTCACTTGAGGGCACCGTGCTCAATTCTTAGGGAATGGGTGTTCAAAGGCTAGAGAACTTGGGACCTCTATTCCCCAAAGTGGTAGATGGTGAGGGTTGGATAGTTGAAAAGCAGGTTCTCCAGGCATGGTGGCACATGTCTGTAATTCCAGCTACCGCGGAGGCATAGGTAGGAGGATCCCGGTCCAAGGCCTGCCAGGGCAAAATCGCTAGACCCTATCGAAAAATAGCTAACGCGTCCGGGGCGTGGCTCAAGGGGTTCAGCACTGGTTTAGCAAGTCCAAGCCTCTGAGTTCAAACCCCAATACCACTAAAAAACAAACAAAAAATCTCCCCGATACCAAAAAAAAAAAAAAAAAAGGCTAGCCTCAAGTGGTGAGGCACCAGCTCCAATACAGGGAACAAACGGGGAGGGGAGTGGTCAGAGAGAGAGAAACAAGGGAGAAACGGCTTCTTCTGTGCCCATGGGTTGTTACCCTCCCCACTCCGCACCCCTGCCGGGTCCCTAAAACCCGAGAGCTCCTCTGATTCCAGGTAAAACACCTTAATCTTTAACGAAAAGGAGGTGGGGTCAAGAGTTCAACAGACCCCCACCCCAGGAGGGTGGGGAGACCATGGTGATTAAATTTCATAGAAGTAAACATACACACTCACCGCACACGAGTGCATGCCAAAGTGGTTAAGTCCGAGCAAGGCCTGTCATACAGTTAATTGCATTGGCATAGTTAATTGCATTGAGCCAACGTCAATTTCCTGGTTTTGATTTTGGATCTTATGTAAGATGTTGAGGGAAGCCGGGCGCTGGGTATACGGAACTTCTCCGTACTCATTTTGCAACTTCTTTTGAGTCTGTAATTATTTCAAAATAAAAAGTAAAAAAGAAAACAAAACAAGAGGAACTTCCCCAGCCCGGCCCAGCCCGGCCCAGCCCGGCCCACCTGCAGGCGGCCCCACTCCGCCCGTGTCTGGCCTCAGCGCAGGGAAACCGGGTGAAGGGTGAGGCCGGGCAGGGCAGGGCGGGGCCGCGCATGCGCAGTGCCGCAGTCCCGGCAGCGCCGCGGGCGAGTCGCGCATGCACAGTCTCGGCCCCCGGCCGCCGAGGCACTCCGCCCCTCTCCACAGCGGGGCACCGGGTGCCTTGGACCCTCTACGCCGCCGTCTTTTCCGGCAGTTGGAACGCTTCCTGTTGTTCTTGCCTGTCACGGCTTCTACCTCGGAGCCTCTCGAGCGTCCCCGCTTCCTCCGGCTGGTCGGGCTCGGCGGGCGTCTGCGGTGGCCGCCGCCGGGGTCTGGTGAGTGTCTCGCGGCCGCCGCCTCCCTCCGTCCCGGGCGTTTTTCTTCGTCTCCTCCTCCCCTGCCCGTGCCGGGCTCTCCGTTCCCGCTGCGCCCGCTGTCCGGCCCCGTCCTCGGCCCGGTTCCTCTCCCCGTCAGCCCGGGCTCCTCGTCCTTCCCCCGCGTTCCCGGGCCCCCACCCACCCGGGCCTGGGCGCCTTTGGGGCGGGAGCCACCGTCCGCTCCATGTTGCCAGCTTTGTCTGCCCGCCGCCGCCGCCGCCGCCCGACCCCTCGGCGACGGTCCTCCTCCTGGGACCTAAGGACCCCAGAGCCGGGGTCCGAGGCAGAGACGTCCAGAGCCCACGGGGGTTGAGGGGAGTGGCGTGGTAATGCTGCTGAGGCTGCCCACTTCCCCACGGTTAGGTGTGGGATCCCGGGCTGCACATGATCCTGCGATCCCCGAAAATGGAGAGTGCAGCAGGAACAGCCCGGGGGAGAGGGAAAAGTTCGCAAGGAGTTGGAGGAAAGTCCGTATCAGACCGCGCGCATAACGGCTACTAGAGACCGGATCGCCTCGTTGCATTCCGAAATGCCTTAAAACACGAGGAGGGAAACTCGCCTTTTTTTAAAATTTCTTTTTCTAAAATGCACAGAGGAAGGTGAGAATGAAGTCAATTCAGTAGTTCCTCTCACCTTGGCTTTGACTTAGCATGAACATACGGGTTCCCTAAACCTAAAACCACCACCACCTCAAGAACAGGCTCATCTCCCCACCCCAACAATAGGCAGCAGCTTCCTCATTAGAGGACAGTTGTGTCCTCCAACTCTGCATACAAACCCATCTGCCCTAACCCTCTCCATCATTCCATCATTCGTATGGCGCTCTCAACTCCCAACTCCTAGGAATCATCATTAAATAACCCAGTGGTTTTCCTAGTTCATCTTTTTTAAGGTGCTTATGAAGTGCATAGCGCTGTGTTTGCTTGCTTTCTCTCTTTTTTGTTTTTCCCCAGGGTCTGGCTGGCCTTGAACTTTGATTCTTTTGTCTCAGTCTCCTGAGTGCTGGGATTACAGGCTTGCACCGCTGTGCTCTGCTCATGTACTTACTTTCTAGTGAGTTACAGTTGAAGAGAGATTACACATGTGACTCTTGGGAAGTAGTTTTAGCCAGGTTGAATTGTCCAAATGAAACAATGTATTCTCAGTTGCAAAGAAATAAAGTACTGGGGAGAGAAAGGTTATTTATAGAGATAACCATTGTAAAGTCTATCAAGCATTTGACCTCCTTTTGAGTTTGTAGTTCCCTATCCCTGACTTTTATGAGGATGGTATTCTTCTTTTAACCTTTTTTTTTTTTTTTTGTGGTACTGGGGCCACCGCCCTGGGACTTATCCCGATGTTCAGATTCCTGTGTGGGGCTCAGAGCATGACTGCAGGATCCCTGTCCACCTACATGGCACTTCCCAGGACCCCCAAACCAGGGAGGACTTACTTCTTGTTTTTCCTTTGCTGCACTGGGGTCTGAACTCAGGGCCTACACCTTGAGCCACTCCACCAGCCCTTTTTTTGTGAAGGGTTTTTTGAGATAGGGTCTCACAGAACCATTTGGTTGGACTGACTTTGAACCTCGATTCTCCTGATCTCTTCCTCCTGAGTAGCTAGGGTTACAGGTGTGAGCCACTGGTGCCTAGCTTCTTTTAACCTTTTAAAACTTTGTTTGAGCCACTCCCCAGTCCTCTTTTGAAATTTAAGAATGTCCTACCGATCTGTTACTCTGATTTTGAAGAGTTGAAGGAGAATGAAGGAAAGGACTCCAGTGACTTGTGGGTCAGGGCAGGAAGGCTTGCCTTATGGAAAGCAAGAGGGAAAGCCCTGTCATGAAACGCACTCAATTGACCCAGTAAACCTATGAATTGCTATTGGGCAATCTTAATCGTATGTTTTGATTAAAGGTTATTAGAATTAGGCTAAACCTTTTATAAGTGGAAAAAGAGGAGGAGGTGGTGGCTTTGAAGAAAGGTCATGGGGAAGGAAAGTGCAGTCTTTACCATTACTTTAGACATTGTCTGTGAGCCATGAAAATCACTCTGCTAAAGAATTTGTTGGCCTAGAATATGAGCAACTTTTAGTGCACTCTGTATCTTGTTGATCTTTTTAAAAGTTTAGGAAGTAATGCCCGGGACTTAAATTAGTCAACTATTATTATTATTATTTTTAAATCAAAACACAAAGCATTGGCCGGGAGCCGGTGGCTCACAGCTGTAATCCTAGCGACATAGGAGGCAGAGATCAGGAGGATCAGGGCTCAAAGCCAGCCTGGGCAAATAGTTCATGAGACCCTATCTCAAAAAAACGTATCATAAAAAAGGGCTGGCGGAGTGGCTCAAGGTGAAGGCCCTGAGTTCAAGCCCCAGTACCACAAAAAACAAAACCAAAAAAACCCACAGCATTGTGTGTGCTGGACAGGCATTGTACCACTGAGTACATCCCTAAACCAAGTCAAAACTTTTCCCCCAGTTTTTTACTTTTGGTGGAACTGGGGTCTGAACTGAGGGCTTTGTGCTTGTAAAACAGGCCTTCTACTACTTGAGCCACCAACTTGCTCTGATTATTTTGGAGATGGGTGTCAAAAACCATTTGCCTGGGTGTCACAAACTATTTGCCTGGGCTGGCCAGGCTACTTTATCTTCCTGATTGCAGCCTCCCAAGTGGCTAGGATTACAGGCCAGGCCTGAGCCACCAGTGCCCAGCTCCCCCAGTGTTTTAAATACCTGTCAGTGTAAATGTACTCTGTACTGTTGGCTGTGTCGACAACTAAGTCATTGCCTTGTTCAACTTACACTTCCTAATTGCTCATTATACAGAAGGCATTGTTTGTCTTAGGTTTAAATACTCTTATGTTGGGTTTTGTTTTGCCAGCCCTTTTTTATGATAAGTTTTTTTGAGATAGGGTCTCATGAACTATGCACAGGCTGGCTTCGAAGCACGATCCTCCTGATCTCTGCCTCCTGAGGAGCTAGGTTTATAAATGTGAGCCACTGGTACCCAGCTTGTGTTGTATTTTTATGTTGAAATAATTTCAGCTGTTAAAAAGTAACTGCATGTATGTTAAGAGCTTCCAGAAATTTCCAGACAGGGAAGGAGTACACAGCTCTTTTTACTTTTTTGTATCTTTTTTTCAAACTTTTTTCACAAAACACATTTGAAATGCATGTGGTTTTCATTGTGGGTGGAGGGGGTATAGGCTGACAAATAAGGAACCACACCCAAGTTTCATAAACCAGAGGTTTTTGTTTTTTTTGGTTTTTCAAGACACTTGCTAGATAGCCCAGGCTGTCCTTAAACTAGAGATCCTCTTTCTCACCTTCACTTGTGCTTAAGTCAGAGATTTTTAAGAAAATTCCTCTGCTGATACCCTAAAAGCATTTGAGTTTGCTTTTGTATTGTTAGAAACTTCACTGTAAAAAACATGACATTTTATAGTAAGGGAACTTTGAATACCATATGTCCAATTCGTGAATAGTGATCATTTAAAAAAAATTTTAATTTTATTTTTGAATTATTGTACATTAATATGAAAGGATTTCATTGTGATAGTTTTCTCCTTCCTCCTTTTTAGTGTTGTGTGGGTTTCATCATGCCATCTTCACATGTAAATATGCAGCGCACTTCTACCTTCTTTCACCCTCAGCACCTTTTCCTTTCTCCCTCCTGCCTTCCGTACATTGCTGATAATTCTGTGCATACACAATATACACAAACAAAAGTGAGATCTTGATGTGGTTCGAAGCCAGCCTGGACAAATATTTCTTCAGACCCTGTCTTGAAAATACCCAACACAAGAAAGTTCTGGTGGAGTGACTCAAGAGGTAGCACACACTTGCCTAGCAAGCATGAGGCCCCGAATTCAAACTCTAGCACCACAAAAAAAAAAAAAAAAAAAAAAGTTAGACACCTTAGATCCCAATACCAAAAGGATTTCATCACAAAGAGGAATATTCCTGGTGCGTATCTGCTTGTAAGCAAATTTGTGATGACAAAACCAAACCAATTCAGCCATGTGTGGAATTTCTTGGTATGCACCTACTGTGTTTTGTTTCCTCACTGACTGCTTCTGACAGTCCACAACAGAAAAGACTGCATACTGAACAGCCTTTCTGTATGCACCTCGTGTGTGTGTCCCAGCATGAACCCCTGGGATAATTTCTTTAGTATTTATGCTTAAGGGTGGGCTTTCTGGGTCACAGGACCTTAATATATACTGATTTTCTCCAAGTATTTTGTTTGTCTGACTTTTGTTACATATTATCTGTCCTCCAGGAAATGTACCAGCTTACATTCTTAATGGCTAGGACCCAACTCCAAGACTAATTAATACCTCTTCTTTTTTGTTTCTAGCAGCCATGGCAATGACAGGCTCAACACCTTGCTCATCCATGAGTAATCACACAAAGGAAAGGGTGACAATGACCAAAGTGACATTGGAGAATTTTTACAGCAACCTTATTGCTCAGCATGAAGAACGAGAAATGAGGTAAAGAATTCTCTTTGGAAAAATTGGATCATCAGGTGGGGTTTGAAGCTCATTGGTAGAGCACTTACCCAGCAAGGTCCTGGATTTGATCCCTGGCACTGGAAAAGAAAAAAAAAAAATGTCATTTGTCCAAAATTCTACCAGCAAAATATGAGGGTTCCAGTTGCTTTGCATTTTGTTGAAATTTCTGTTGTCAGTGGATGCTGAATGGTCTCTCGATTTTTTTTATTTATTTTTTGTTCAGTCTCCTTAGAGACTGTCAAAAAATTGCCAATGCCAATTCTATTTCAAGTTTTCAATTCGCAGTAGTTACACCTTAGATAAACATCGGCTACAATACTGCCTCTGTGCAAAGCTCACTCACTGATTTTAATTTGGGTTTCCCTGATGGTTAATGATAAACATTTTGCATGATTTTATTTTTTGCTATTTGTGTATCTTACTTTGTGAAGTGTTTGTTCAGTTTTCTTTTCTTCTTTTTTTTTTTTTTTGCCATTTAAAAATTTTGAGACAGGTACTGGTGGCTCACGCCTATAATTCTAGGTACTTGGGAGGCAGAGAGCAGGAGGATCTCAGTTTGAAGCCAGCCCAAAAACCCTTCACAAATAAAGGGCTGGTGGAGTGGCTCAAAGTGTAGGCCCTGAGTACCACCTAAAAAAAAAGAAAGAAAATACCCAACACAAACAAGGGCTGGTGGCTAATGGAGTGGTTCAAGTGGTAGCGCGCTGACCTAGCAAGTGTGAAGCCCTGTGTTCAAACCCCAGTATTACCAAAAAAAGAAAGAAGAAAAAAAAAAAAAAACCTCTTTTTTTTTTTTTTTTTGATGGTATTAGCATCAAACCCAGGGCCTTGTGGATGCTAGGCAAACAGTCACTGAGCTACATCTCCAGCCCTGATTTCTGTAGCTTTGTAGTAAGTTTGCAAGTGAGATAATCCTCCAACTTGGTTCGTTCTTTTTGCCCAAGATTGTTTTGGACATTGTAAATTCTTTCAATTTCCATGTAAACTTCAGAGTCAGTTTGTCAGTTTCTACAGTAAAGTTTGATGAAATGAAGATTGGAATTATATTGAATCTGTAGATCAATTTGAGGAGAATTGACATCTGGGCTTGACCTGGGCCTCACCCTTGCTAGACAGGCACTCTACCACTTGAGCCACTCCACCAGCCCTGTTTTGTGATGGATAGTTTTCAAGGTAGGGTCTCTTGAACTATTTGCCAGGCTGGCTTGAACTGTGGTCCTCCTGATCTCTGTCTCCTGAATAGGTAAGACCACAGGTGTGAGCCACCAGTGCCACCTCAAGAATTGGCATCTTGACAGTTGCTAAAGCTTCTGGTCCATGGATGTGGTATATCTCTTCCACTTTTTAAGTCTCCTTTAATTTTTTTTGCTTCACGGGGGTTTGAATTCAGGGCCTCCCACATGCTAGGCAGGCGGGCACCCTACCTGGGTGCCCAGCCCTTTTTGCTTTAGCTATTTTCAAATACTGTTGAATTTTTGCCAGGGCTGGCCTAGACCTTGATCTTCTTACTTCTGCCTCCCATGTAGTTGGTATTACAGGCATGAACCACTGTATATGGCTTGTTGATTGAGATAGGGGTCTTACTCACTGGCTGGCTGGACTGGCTTCGAATCTCAGTCCTCATGAGTAGCTGAGCTTACAGATGTGAGCTACCATGCCTAACTTTGTGAGAATTCTTTTTTTCTATGTAAATAATCGTATCATATTCAAATAGAGACAGTTTTAGTTTTTTTCAATCTGTTCAGCCCTTTATCTTGCCTTATTGCATTGGTTAGGACTTCCAGTGCAGTGCTGAATAGAAGTGGTGGGAGTGGATATCTTTGTTTTGTTCTCAACCTAAGAGGTAACATTAGTTTTGATGTTAGTTGTAAGTTTTTCAGAGATGGCCTTTATAGTTTCCTTATATCTATTTGAGAGTTTTTATCATGAAGGTGTTGAATTTTGTCAGATTTTTTTCTGTATCTTTGAAGATACAGAAACAATACATTGAATACAATGTATTATTTTTCTTCTCTGTCTCTCTCTCTGTCTGTCTTTTTCTCTTTCTCTTTCCCCTCCCTCTTTCCCTTACTCCCTCTCTCCCTCTCCACCTCTCTCCCTCTCCAGAGTCTCACTGTGTAGTCCAGGGTTGCCTCAAATTCACTATGTAGCTGAGACTATCCTTGAACTCTAGATTCTCCTGCCTCAGCATCTTGCATGATAGGATTATAGAAATGTACCACCATGCTCAGCATCTTTGTTCTTTATTCTTTCAATATGGTGAATTACATGGACTGAATTTTGAATGTTTTTATAACTGATTTTTAAATATTTTTAGTTGTATAGGGAGGTTTCATTGTGACATTTACATATGTGCTTACAATCTATCTCCATTCACTCCTCCATTATTTTCCCTCAGTCCCTCTTCTTGATTTTTTCTTTTTAATATTACAGAATTTGCATACCCTTGATTGATTTTTTTGAATGTTAAACTACTGTATTCCTGGAGTAAAGCCCTTTTGGTTACAATGTATTATCCTCCTTAACATGTTGTTGGATTTGATGATTTTTTTTTTTCCTTTTTCTTTTATTATTCATATGTGCATACAAGGCTTGGTTCATTTCTCCCCCCTGCCCCCACCCCCTCCCTTACCACCCACTCTGCCCCCTCCCTCTCCCCCCCCCACCCCCGCCAATACCCAGCAGAAACTATTTTGCCCTTATTTCTAATTTTGTTGTAGAGAGAGTATAAGCAATAATAGGAAGGAACAAGGGTTTTTGCTGGTTGAGATAAGGATAGCTATACAGGGCATTGACTCACATTGATTTCCTGTGCGTGGGTGTTACCTTCTAGGTTAATTCTTTTTGATCTCACCTTTTCTCTAGTTCCTGTTCCCCTTTTCCTATTGGCCTCAGTTGCTTTAAGGTATCTGCTTTGGTTTCTCTGCGTTAAGGGCAACAAATGCTAGCTAGTTTTTTAGGTGTCTTACCTATCCTCACCCCTCCTTGTGTGCTCTCGCTTTTATCATGTGCTCATAGTGCAATCCCATTGTTGTGTTTGCCCTTGATCTAATGTCCACATATGAGGGAGAACATACGATTTTTGGTCTTTTGGGCCAGGCTAACCTCACTCAGAATGATGTTCTCCAATTCCATCCATTTACCAGCGAATGATAACATTTTGTTCTTCTTCATGGCTGCATAAAATTCCATTGTGTATAGATACCACATTTTCTTAATCCATTCGTCAGTGCTGGGGCATCTTGGCTGTTTCCATAACTTGGCTATTGTGAATAGTGCCGCAATAAACATGGGTGTGCAGGTGCCTCTGGAGTAACCTATGTCACATTCTTTTGGGTATATCCCCAAGAGTGGTATTGCTGGATCAAATGGTAGATGGGACCTTCCTGTATAGCCCAGGGTGGCCTTTAAACATGCTGTCCTTCTGTCTCACCTTCCCAAGTAGCTGGGATTACAGGCACATACTACTATGCTTAACTGATATGCTAATATTTTGGTAAGGTTTTTTTGTAACCTTGTTTTTCATGAGGGTATAATTCATAATTTCCATGGAATATAGGATTTGATTTTAGATATGTAGTTGTATAAGAATTGACAGATTATTTTATATCCGATGGTTGCAACTGCTGTTCACTTGAGCAGACAAGTGCCTGCACAGTCCCTAGTTAGGATTACGGGAATTGAAAGTACACTGTCAGGCCTGTGAAACCTGTCAGAGATGGTTATTTTCAATTACAGCCACTCTTGAAATCAGTGCTTCTGGTGCTATAAGTATAAAGCAAATGCATATGAATTCTAATTTAGTTTTTTTTTTTGGCAGCACTGGGTTTGAACTCAGGGCCTCACACTTGCTAGTTAGCTGCTCTATGCTCTACTGTTTGAGCCATTCCGCCAGCCCTGTTTTGTGTTTTTTTTTTTTTTTTTGAGATAGAGTCTTGTGAACTGTTTGCCCTGGCTGGACTTGGAACCGCGATTCTCCTAATCTCTGCCTCCTGAGTAGCTGGAATTACAAGCGTGAGCCACAGGCATCTTCCTCTAATTTAGCTCTTTTATTAGATAGTTGTCAGTTTGTTTCATCCTGTTGGCTTTGCCTTCACGTGGTTTATCTTTGCTGCATGTAACTTGTATAGGAATAAATCCTGTATGATTTTGCTTGTATCGCTAGCAAATGTTATATTGTGGTTCATACTTGGGCTGCACTTAGACCTCATGGTGTGCATGAGGTCACCTTCCAAAAGCTTTTTTGTTTTCTTTTTTGATGGAGGTACTAGGGTTTGAGCCCAGGGCTGGCTGGCAGAAGCTCTACACCTCCAGCCCTTTTACCTTGTTTTTGGGTAGAGTTTTGCTTTGTGCCCAGGCCAGCCTGGACTACTATCCTCATACTTTAGCCTTTCCACCATCACTCAGATGGCAGGTTGCATATTACCGCACCCAGCTGTTGGTTGAGAAGGGAGTCTCACAAAGTACTTTTGCCCCAGTTGCCCTCAAACCATGATCCTTGGATCTCAGCCTCCTTGTAGATGTGCGCTACTTGTGCTCAGCTTTGGCTTTTTTTTTTGAAGATCAAATTAATTAAGACAGATGGTAGAAAAAGAATGTTAGACATTTAAGGGGGTTAGAATGTGGTAATTTTTGTCATTAAAAGATCATCATTACTTTTCATTTTAAAACAGTTGGTATGTGGGGCAACCACCAATGTAAAATGTAAGTCTATTTGTAATTGTCACAGTGAATCCCCCTGTACAACAAGTACATCCTAATAGAAATGAAAAAAGTCCTGGGGCTTGAACTCAGGGCCTATAACTTGAGCCACTCCACCAGCCCTTTTTTGTGATGGGTTTTTTCAAGATGGGTCTTGAGAACGAGTTGCCCATTCTGGCGTCAAACCACAGTTCTCCTGATCTCTTCCCTCCTGAGTAGCTAGGATTATAGGCGTTCACTACTGATGGCTGGCTAAAACAGTAGATACTTTGAGCCTT